GGGGGGCCAGTTAGGGGCGATCAGGCAGGCAGGCAGGTGAGCAGTTAGGAGCCAGCAGTCCTGGATTGTGAGAGGGACATCCCCCAAGGGGTCCCAGATTGGAGAGGGTGCAGGCTGGGCTGAGGGGGCCCCCCCCCCCGTGCACAAATTTCATGCACTGGGCCTCTAGTGATTTAATATTTGTATGTATTGCAAAATGATCTCCACAATAAGTCTAGTTAATATCCATCAGCATAAAGTTACAAAAGTTTTTTTTAATTAAAATTTTTATTGATTGATTTTTAGAGAGAGGAAGGGGAGAAGGGAAGCATCAAATTGTCATTCCCCTTATTTATACATTCATTGGTCTATTTCTGTATGTGCCCTGACTAGGGATCAAACCTGCAACCTTGGCATATTGGGACAGCACTCTAACCAACTAAGCTATCTGGCCAGGGCAAACGTTTTTTTTTTTTTTTTCCTGTGATGAAAACTTTTAGGATCTCTCTTGGCAACTTTTAGATATACCACACAATATTATTAATTCTAGTCTCTATATTATACATTACATCTCCATGACTTATTTTATGGCTGGGAATTTGTACATTTTAACTGCCTTTACTCATTCCCACTCATACTTTTAACCTTGACTATAACCCTGAATGAAGACTTGTACTTTGCAGCATTTAGACCTGGCCAGGGCAAAAGTTTTTTGTTTTTTTGTTTTTTTTCTGTGATGAAAACTTTTAAGATCTCTCTTGGCAACTTTTAGATATACAACACAATATTATTAATTCTAGTCTCCATATTATACATTACTTCTCCATGACTTATTTTATGGCTGGGAATTTGTACGTTTTAACTGCCTTTACCCATTCCCACTCATACTTTTAACCTTGACTGTAACCCTGAATGAAGACTTGTACTTTGCAGCATTTAGAACTGTCTTCCAGTTTCAAGGTCAGAGAGTTACTGAAACATACTGTTCTTTTCTAAAGTGAGTGGATTGGACTATATCTACGTTTAGCTATGTCTTTTACCTGTGATTCTGTAAATTTTAGTTAAGCACTCAGCATTCAATATAGAAGTGTGTTTAATTTCTTGTTGTTATTATTATTATTTTCATTTCATACATAGCTTTGTATCATACTTTTAAGAAGATTCTATTGCATTTTAAACCATTTTTTATAACCTTTCCCTAAGGTATTCCCATCTGTCAGCAGCACTTAATTTGGAATAACGTGGAACTTGAAGATGATTATTGCTTGAATGATTACAAGTGAGTGTAATTGCATATTAATTGTTTTATAGATGTATAGTATTGCGACTTCATTTAGTACCATTGTTTTTCTTCTGAATCCGTGGATTATGTCTCTTCTTCTGAATAGTTCTGTTTTTTAGATATCAGTGTAAATCCTGAACTAAATACAGTAGGGCCTTGACTTACGAGTTTAATTCATTCAGAGACCAAGCTCATTAAGGAGCTCATTAAGGAGCTCGTTAACTCAAATTACTCTATCAACTCAATGCAAAAAATTGGCCAAGTGAGTGTAATTGCATATTAATTGTTTTATAGATGCTCAGTATTGCGACTTCATTTAGTACCATTGTTTTTCTTCTGAATAGTTATGTTTTTTAGATTTCAGTGTAAATCCCGAACTAAATAAACTGTTGAACAAAACAGAAACAGAAGCATGGAAACGTGTGGAACAGACTGACAGCTGTCAGAGGGGTGGGGAAGCGGGGACTGGATGAAAGAAGGTGAAGGGATTAGCCAAAAAACTTATATACATACTATACAGACACAGACAACAGTATGGTGATAGAGGGAAAGGAGCAGTGGGGGGTAGGTGGAGCTGGGCAAAGGGGGAGAAAATGGGGACATAAAGAGATTTTGCTTGGAGTGATGGATACACAATGCAGTTTGCAGATAATGTTTTTTTTTTTTTGCCAATTTATTATTATATTATATTATATTATATTATATTCATGCACTGGAGGAGGGGCCCCTTAACCTGGCCTGCGCCCTCTCACAGTCCAGGAGTCCTCAGGGATGGGAGGTGACCCGGAAATCAGGGGAAGGCGACACCCCATCACACCTCTGCTGCTGCCACTGCCGGCAGCGCAATCCTCGGCCAGCCCTCGTTACCTGAGCCTCGGGCCGGTCCTGGGAGGCTGGGCAGCCACCATCTGAGGCTTGCCTATGCCTCCGGCCAGCCCTGGTTGGCTGGGGGGCTGAGGGGACTGAGGGACTCAGGAGGCAGGCACATGGCAAGGCCTGCCACCCCAGCGGGGTGGAGAGGACTGGGCGCCGCCATCTTGTGGCTGTGAGTGCTGCCATCTTTGAGGGTATGGCAGTCAATTAGCATATTCCGTCCTTATTGGCTGTGGGCGCTGCCACCTTTGTGATGGTGTGAGGGTCAATTAGCATATTATTTCTTTATTAGATAGGATTTGCTGTGTATGTGATGTGCCTTATTCACATGCCCACTGACCTCAGCTGCCTCTTCCCCACACCAGGCTGAGCACATGATTCCTGACTAGTTCCCTAGCTGCCCTGCTAGTGAAATTGGATAACCAATGGGTCTGTGAAGCCTGTCACTACTTGAGCCAATTCAGCAGCAACAGGTTTGAATCATATATGAATGTTTACATATAAGTATATACCTTCTTTGGTTTATCTCTTCTCATTCCCCCAACCCCACCTCAAGATATGTCAATCTGTTTCATGCCTCCATGCTTCGGGTCTTATTTTATTGGTCAATTCATTTTGCTCATTAGAGTTCACAAATAAGTAAAATCATGTGATATTTTTCTTTCTCTGTCTGGCTTATTTTACTTAGCATAATATTTTCCAGGTCCTCCAGGCTGTCCCAAAGGGTAAGAGGTCCCTCTTTTTAATAGCTGCACAGTATTCCATTATATAAATGTCCCACAGCTTTTTTATCCATTCATCTACTGATGGGCACTTGGGCTGTTAAAAAAAATCTTAGCTATTGTAAATAACGCTGCTATGAACATAGGAATGCATATATTCTTTCTGATTGATGTTTCACGATTTTTAGGATATATTCTCAGAAGTGGGATCACTGGGTCAAACAGAAGTTCCATTTTTAATTTTTTGAGGAAACTATACTGTTTTCCATAGGGGCTGCACCAGTCTGTTTCCATTTTTATTTTTTGAGGAAACTATACTGTTTTCCATAGGGGCTGCACCAGTCTGTATTCCCACCAGCAGTGAACTAGTGTTCCCTTTTCTGTACATCCTTGCCGGCACTTGTTTATTTTTTTTATGATAGCCATTCTAACAGGTGTAAGGTGATATCTCATTGTGGTTTTAATTTGCATTTCTCTGATGAGTAGTTATTTTGAGTATTTTCTCATGTGTCTCTTGGCCATCAGTATTTCCTTTTTGGAGAAATGTCTATTTAGCTCTTCTGCCCATTTTTTAATTGAATTGTTTGTCTTCCTTTTGTTGAGTTGTATGAGTGCTTTATATGTTTTGGAGCAGTGGTTCTCAACCTTCCTAAGATGTATCAGATGTATCATTGACAAATATGTTCTCCCATTCAGTGGGTTCCCTTTTCATTTTGATGATGGTTTTTCTTTGCTGTGCAGAAGCTTTTTATTTTGATGTAGTCCCATTTGTTTATTTTCTCCTTAGTTTCCTTTGCCCTAAGAGATGTATCGGCAAAAATTCTGCTGTGTGAGATGTCTGAGATTTTACTGCCTATGTTTTCTTCGAAGATTGTTAGACATGTTCTCCCATTCAGTGGGTTCCCTTTTCATTTTGATGATGGTTTTTCTTTGCTGTGCAGAAGCTTTTTATTTTGATGTAGTCCCATTTGTTTATTTTCTCCTTAGTTTCCTTTGCCCTAAGAGATGTATCGGCAAAAATTCTGCTGTGTGAGATGTCTGAGATTTTACTGCCTATGTTTTCTTCGAAGATTGTTATGATTTCATGCTTTACATTTAAGTCTTTTATCCATTTTGAGTTTATTCTTGTGTATGGTGTAAGTTGATGGTATAGTTTCATCTTTTTCATCTGTCTGTCCAATTTTCCCAGCACCATTTGTTGAAGAGGCTGCCTTTTCTCCATTGTATGTTTTTGCTTACTTTGTCAATTATTAATTGACTGTATGGTGTGGGTCAATTTCTGGGGCTTCTGTTATGATCCATTGGTTTGATTATAATGACTTTGTAGTATAGTTTGATATCCGGTATTCTGATCCCTCCAACTTGGTTCTTCTTTCTTTTCTTTCTGCCACAGCTATTTGGGATCTTTATGGTTCCATATAAATTTTTGGAGTATTTATTCTAGTTCTGTGAAGTGTGCCATTGGTATTTTACTGGTAATAGGAATTGCATTGAATCTATAGTTTGCATTGGGTAGTTTAGACATATTAATGATGTTAATTCTTCCAATTCATGAACATGGTATACGTTCCCGTCTTTTTGTATCTTCCTCTATTTATATTTTCAATGTCCTATAGTTTTCCAAGTACAGGTCTCTTACCTCCTTAGTTAAGTTTATTCCTAGGTATCTTATTTTTGTTGTTGTTGCAATGGTAAATGGGATTGTTTTTTTAGTTTCTCTTGCTGAAAGTTCATTATTGGTGTATAAAAATGCCATTGATGATTAGATGTTGATTTTGTATCCTGCTACCTTGCCGAATTCATTTATTAAGTCCAATAGTTTCCTGGTGGAATCTTTAGGGTTTTTTATGTACAATATCATGTCATCTGTGAGTAATGAGAATTTTACTTCCTCCTTTCCAATTTGGATGACTTTTATCTCTTCTTGTCTGATTGCTGTGGCTAGGACTTCCAATACTATGTTGAATAAGAGTGGTGAAAGCAGACATCCTTGTCTTGTTCCTTTTCTTAAGGGAAAAGCTTTTAGTTGTTGACCATTGAGTATTATGTTGGCTGTAGGTTTGTCATATATGGCCTTTATTATGTTGAGGTATGATCCCTCTACTCCCACTTTCCTGAGAGTTTTTATCAAAAAAGGGTGTTGCATTTTGTCAACTGCCTTTTCTGCATCTATTGATATAATCATGTGATATTTATCTTTCAGTTTGCTTATGTGAAGTATCACATTTACTGATTTGTGGATATTTAACCAGTCTTGCATTCCCGGAATAAATCCCACTTGATCATGGTGTATGATCTTTTTAATATATTATTGGATCTGATTTGCTAATATTGCAGATGATGTTTTATTGAGTTGTACACATGAAACCTTTTTGGTTTGGGGAACCAATGTCACCCCAATACATTCAATTAAAAAAAGATGTGTTGGCTCAGTACCCCATATTATCTGATCCTTGTCCTTTGAATCTTTGTTTTACTTTTTCATTATTCACTCTAAGCCAGCGGTTCTCAATCTGTGAGTTGCTACCCCTTTGGGGGTCGAGGGACCCTTTCACAGGGGTCGCCTAAGACCATCGGAAAACACATATATGATTACATATTGTTTTGTGATTAATCACTATGCTTTAATTATATTCAATTTGTAACAATGAAATTGGGGGTCACCACAACATGAGGAACTGTATTAAAGGGCCATGGCATTAGGAAGGTTGAGAACCACTGCTCTAAGCTATTAATCTCCTTCCTTTTTAGATCTTTCTCTTCTGATCTTGCATTTTTTGCTTTTTTCTTTGAATATTGACCCAATTCTCACCTGACTAGGTTTCTTTTCTTTCCATTTTCACAAGTATTGAGTGAGAGAGTATTGCTCTTCACCAAGTCTTTCATTTTCCATTAAGGCCTTCTTCCATTACTAAGTGGGACTGTGCATACCAGTGATTGCAGATATACTGTCTGACATTTTGCCTTTTTCCCCTCCCATAAATCTTCACTCTTAAGAAAAGAGCAAAAAGGCAATATGGAATAGCTGAAAGAGCATTGGGAGACCTTGTAGATTTGCTGTTTTTCTGTTTCCTATTTTACTAAATATATCTGCTATTTTCTAATACTTTGGGTCTTGAATAAGAATCTTTTTTCTTAGGGCCTCTTTTTCCTTACATGTAAAATGAAGAGGTTAAACCACATGGTCACAGATCCTTTCCAATACTTTTATTCTGAAATTTAATGTCATATTTAAGGATTATGAAAACTTCTTCACTTTTTCATTATTTAAGAAGTAAATAAATTAACATTTTATATTTATGCACATTGCTATATCTATTTTTAGAGGACAGGCACTATGCCTGGTAAAGCAGCAATAATTATGTACATATTTAACAGTGAGTGCATTTTGATTATTGTAGTTTATTTTTTTATTAATTATCCACAGCATTTCAGAAGGCTGTACCTTGAAGCTGGTACTGGCTATGCGTGGTGGACCTATAAATACTAGAAGAGGTAGGCATATGTTAAAAGTATGTATATTAAGCACTTTCACAATAACAATCTTTAAGCCAGTCAGTGTTTTTATGTTTTGTAGTAAGGTTCTCTTTCTGCTCTTAGGTTTAGAAGAACCACATTTGTTTTTAAAGGCATTGTTCTTTAAAGCCTAAATGAACAGTGGCAGGAACTCATATACTAGAAAGTCTAATGATTCATGATTCCATCCAGGGAGATTTAAAAATAAACCTCATCATCCTAGCTGGTTTGGCTCAGTGGATAGAGCGTTGGCCTGCGGACTGCAGGGTCCCAGGTTTGATTCCGGTTAAGGGCATGTGCCCAGGTTGCAGGCTTGATTCCCAGTAGGGTGGTGCAGGAGGTGGCCGATAGATGATTCTCTCTCATCATTAATGTTTCTCTCTCTCTCTGAAATCAATAAAAATATATTTAAAAAATAAATAACTAAAAATAAACCTCATCAATATAGGGAAGGGAAATGGAATGGCATAATACAAATATGTTGTTAAAAAGGTTCGCCATCACTGTCTGGTTTGGCTCAGTGGATAGAGCGTTGGCCTGCGGACTGCAGGGTCCCAGGTTTGATTCCGGTTAAGGGCATGTGCCCAGGTTGCAGGCTTGATTCCCAGTAGGGTGGTGCAAGAGGTGGCCGATAGATGATTCTTTCTCATCATTAATGTTTCTCTCTCTCTCTCTCTCTCTCTCTCTCTCTCTCTCTCTGAAATCAATAGAGAGAGATAGATAGATAGATATAGATATAGATATATAGATAGATATAGATATAGATATTTTTATTGATTTCAAGGAGGAAAAGAGATATAAACATCAATGATGAGAATTATTGATTGGCTGCCTCCTGCATGCCCCCTACTGGGGACCGAGCCCACAACCTGGGCATGTGCCCTGATGGGGAATCAAACTGTGACCTCCTGGTTTCTGGGTCAACACTCAATCACTAAGCCACACCAGGTGGGCCTGAGGTAATGATTTATGTAGAAACTTCTTTTTGGATATCTGTTAGCCTTGTCTATGATGTATTTGGGTGTCATGGATATTATCATGGCCCTATTGAGTCCTTTTTCAGAATGTGGGCAGTCCTTGGGAGTTTATTCATTTGTTCGTTCGTTCATTCATTCAGCAAATACATTTTGAGCATCTACTAGATGTTCAGTGCAATATTTTATGGGAGAAAATATCCCTAATTCATGAAGGTCCCCACAGTAAGTGTGTTAGGAATGGATGTCATTTTAAGCAGTCATAAATGCTGTGGAGGAAACAGGGTAGTATGATAGAGTCTGTGGAATCACTAAGCCACACCAGGTGGGCCTGAGGTAATGATTTTTGTAGAAACTTCTTGGATATCTGTTAGCCTTGTCTATGATGTATTTGGGTGTCATGGATATTTATCATGGCCCTGTTGAATCCTTTTTCAGAATGTGGACAGTCCTTGGGAGTTTATTCATTCATTTGTTCGTTCATTCATTCAGCAAATACATTTTGAGCATCTACTAGATGTTCAGTGCAATATTTTATGGGAGAAAATATCCCTAATTCATGAAGGTCCCCACAGTAAGTGTGTTAGGAATGGATGTCATTTTAAGCAGTCATAAATGCTGTGGAGGAAACAGGGTAGTATGATAGAGTCTGTGGAGGCAGGGTGATAGGAGGATGTTTGGGGAAGGGCCCTGGGAGAAGATGATGTGAGCGGAGACTTGATCAATGAGAAAGTTCTAAGCACGGGGAGAATTGGGAGTGTTTACATTGGCCCCTGATTCAGGTATGCCACATGAATCCCACCAGATAGAGGCTCCCAGAGACTGCTTAGAGCAGTCCTCATTTTGGGGAAGGACTTCATAGTTGTTTGAGCCTTCTTTAATCAGAAAACTGAATTAAGTATTGAGTCCACTGCTGGCTTATTTCTTCCACAAGTCAAATTTTATCTCCATGCTTCAAATTTTAGTTAAAAAATAAAGGTATTACCATCTTGTTCCTAACTACTTCAAGAGGATTTTGAGAGATATGTTCTTTTTGCTGTTTAATTATTTTGGATAAGTTATAAAAGATGAAAATAATGTTAGAGCTGATTAATTAGCACTCCTAATATTAGGGGCTGTCTATTAACATGAAATTCTCATATGTGACATAAGTTGATGTCTGTAGTACCGATTCTGAGGGTAGTACAAGACCCTAAAGCGTTTCCTGCGTCATTATTGTAAGATAGAATTATACAGTGTTTAATGACATGTGAACTCCATTGTATTATATTTTTGAAAGTTGGTTGTATGTGTATACTATTTTCTTTAAACCAGGGTTTTAATCAGAGCACCTATTTTTCTTACTAGGATTAAAATTATTTTATGTTTATGAGGAGGAGTGTAAATGCTACAGATTCTGAGTTAGAAATATATGTATTTTTAAAACTTAAAAAACTTAAAATGAAATGCATCACTACCCTTTGGTAGTTGAAGCTTTGTAATATCTTCTTTCCCTACAACTTTTTGTGCCTTATTTGTAAATTGAAAAATCAGCACTTAGAAATGATCTTTTTAAAAATATTTTAAATTAAGTTTTTAATAATTTTGCCTTTATCGAATCACCGTTTTTAAAATTAAAAGCTTGATGTTGTCTACCTTACATCATTAAAATCTTTGTGAACCCAGATATAAAACTTCTCCATGTGGTATTTGAGAAACCATGTTTTTTTTTTTTTAGCTATTTAGTCTTATTTAAAACTTATGGTTTAGAAAGTACCTTTATCATCTGAGTTCCAGTAAATAATATTTAGCTTAAAATTTTTTTTAATGAACCATTATTAAAACAACATAGGAAATACTTGCTTTCCTAAAACTAAATTTTATCTTAAACTATATATACAATGTTTTATACCTGATATAATCTAAGTGATTTTTCTGTTATGAAAATGTGTGGACATATATATACATATGTGTATAAGCATATTAAATCCCAGTGCCTCCCTAACAAGGCACACTATGTTGATTTAAGTAAGGCTTTCATGTGCCATTAGTAATGACAATAGCATAGGTTTTTATTTCTCATGAACATAATGTGGAAAATATATCATTAACTTAAAACTGGCAAGAACTTGTTTTAAAAATGTCTTTTAATATTTATGCATTTTGTGTCTATGAAAGAGTCAATCAAAACATCTGAACATTTAAAAACTATTTTTATTGATTTCAGATAGGAAAGGAGAGGGATTAAGAGATAGAAACATCAATGATGAGAGAGAATCATTGATCAGCTGCCTCCTGCACAGCCCACACTGGGGGTCGAGCCCACAACCAGGGCATATGTTCTGACGGAACCGAATTGTGACCTCCTGATTCATAGGTCAATGCTCAACTACTGAGCCACACTAGCCAGGCCCCAAACATTTTTATAAAATAAACTAAATCCTATTATATTTCTAAAGTTTTTGTGTTTTAGTAGTGGTGGTATTGAATTTAGGATATGAGAACATCTTTAATGTTTTTACCTTGTTACTTTCAGAGTTCAACTTTTCTTATAATTTTTTAAAAGAATAGTGCAGCACTGTGACTCTGGTAATAAGTAAGCTACTTGAATGAGAGTTATGGAGTTTGAGAAATTATTGCTTCTTTTAGGAAAGAGCAAATGTTTCTTCAACTTGTCATGAGCATGTCTTTGGGAACTATTTTATTTCCTGTAACCATTACTTAGACACCCAAGTGTGGAGTTCAGGGGCTTTTAGAACACTCACCCTATGAGCCAGCAATCTCATCAGGCCAATTCCCACCACAGGAGCAGAATCTGTGGCTGCTGTGGACAAGAGCAGGTTGTAATATTATTCAAACCCGAGGACATCTTTGTCTTCTAGAGCCCGTCAGTAATGAGGGCTTTGCCCCAGTCCTGTGCTCTGCCTGGGCACATGGATGTATTCTATTCAAGAACAACTCGGCTCCTGGGAAGATGCTTTTAATAAACAACATTCTGACCATTATACACATTGCGGTTTCATTACTAAAGTGGCCCCCTTGTTTCTGAATTACTGTGTACTTTTAAAAAATATATATTTTATTGATTTTTTACATAGAGGAAGGGAGAAGGATAGAGAGTTAGAAACATCGATGAGAGAGAAACATCGATCAGCTGCCTCCTGCACATCCCCTACTGGGGATGTGCCCGAGACCAAGGTACATGCCCTTGAACGGAATCGAACCTGGGACCCTTTAGTTCGCAGGCCGACGCTCTATCCACTGAGCCAAACTGGTTAGGGCTTACTGTGTACTTTTAATTACCTGACTGCACATCAAGAAACAGCTCTAAGAGGACTCAGCCTCTATATAAAACCAGAAAGAAGAAAGATTCAGATGCTTCTCACTTCTAATATGTCTCCTAATTATGTGTATGTTTATTTTTAATATAAAGTAAGTGGGATTTATATTGCTTTTAATTGTTGGTTGATGGAACCAATATTGGAAAATATAGGAAGCAGAGGTGTCAAGTGAAAGCAATCATAGATAATTATGTCGTAGAGTCAGCAACTATACAGACTAGCGGTATAGGAAAAACCTTGTGTATCTTTGTACCTAACAACACAATAATGCATTTCATTTATTTCATATTAATACAACATAGGGAGTGCTGTATTAACTATAAAAGACCAGAAACTTTTTGCACAGGGTTGTTCAAATTCATAATATTATGTTCTGTCACTGTACCAAGATGCATAAAACTTGATATAAATTGCAAGCTTGTTTATCAATTTTTCCATTTGTAGTTCCTATGGAAGACCCACTTAGGGAGATGGCTGAGTACATGGATTCCAGTCAAGACGAGGTCTGGGAGAAGACCTCCTACAACAAACAAGTTACATTTTTGGTATACCGAGAAGGAGAGCAATTGAATTTCTTTCGTGTAGTAGATAGGGGAGATGGCACTTTAACACCATTATCTGAATCTTTAAGGTAAATAAATAGGTTTTCATTTGCATGTCTCACTTAGAAAAGGATAACATCATACAATACACTCTTCAAATTGTCATTCCCCTTATTTATACATTCATTGGTCTATTTCTGTATGTGCCCTGACTAGGGATCAAACCTGCAACCTTGGCATATTGGGACAGCACTCTAACCAACTAAGCTACCTGGCCAGGGCAAAAGTTTTTTGTTTTTTTGTTTTTTTCTGT